AGAGAAAGATAAAAAGAAGGAAAGAGAAAGAGAAAAAGTAAAGAGAGAAAGAAGGAGAGAAAGAAAAAGAAAAGAAAGAGAGAAAGAGAAAAAGAAGGAAAGAGAAAGAGAAAAAGTAAGAAAAAGAGAGAGAGAAAGAAGGAAAGAGAAAGAAAAAAGACAAAGAGGAAAAGTAAAGAATAGAGAAAGAAGGAAAGAAAGAGAAAAAGTAAGAAAGAGAGAGAGAGAAGGGAGAGAGAAAAAGAAGGAAAGAAAAAGAAGGAAAGAAAGAGAAAAGGAAAGAAAGAAAGAAGAAGGAAAGAGAAAGAGAAAAAGTAAAGAGAGAAAGAAGGAAAGAAGGAGAAGGAGAGAGAGAGAAAGAGAGAAGGAAAAAGAAGGAAAAAAGAGAGAAAGAGAAAAGGAAGAAAGAGAGAAAAGGAAAGAGGTTAGTTCTGAGTTCCCCAGGCAGCTTCCACACTTGAAGAACCTGGCAGCTGGGTTTCTTGAATGCTTCCTAACAGTGTTTTTCAACCTTGGGAAATTTAAGCTATGTGGATTCCTCCCAGAAATCACTACCCATCATGCTTGTCCATGGTGCCCATATTCTCATCTCAAAGGATACATTCTGCTGACCCTTGACAGGTTAGCTTTTTATATGCAAGGATTTCTTTGCTTTTGGACAGAGGACCGATCTGCCTGGGCACTCAGAAAATATTGAATATAGGGACTCTTGCTGGAACAGGGAAGGTTGAATTAGAAGACCTCCAAAATCCCTTCCAACTCCGCTGATGAAATGATGATCAAAAGCTAACTGTTGGATTGTTTCATTTCTCCCATCTTCTCTGTCCCGTAGGAAAAACATCCACCTTTTTGGGGGGTGAAAAAGAAAATCCCAATTACTTCTCTGACCAACGAGCCAGTTTGGGGGAAAAGAAAAAAGTTTCCTGGGACAAATCCACAGATTGACCTGTGTTTGCAAGCTTTCCCTTTCTGCATTTAGGAGAAGAGAAAGAAGGGAGAAGGTGATGACAGCACTGAACGCCTTGAGTGAGGTCCAGGCAAAACACGTGTGGGGATTTTCCCCCAAGAAACTGGGAAGGGAGATGCTACAGATGGACGCAGAGTTACCCCAACGTTGGCAAGACTTGATCTCAACAACCACAGGCTCTCGGCACCCCAGCTGGGGGGGCAGCCAGAGCCCCGAGGAGCCCACCCCGTGGGACGACCCCAAGGGTTTCCTGGCCTCCTTTGAACAAGTAGCTGAGGCCTGCCGGTGGCCCCGGAAAGAATGGGCCGCCCGGCTTCTGCCTGCTCTCCGCGGAGAAGCCGAACAAGCTTTCGGTAACCTGGTGGCTCGAGACCGGCAGGATTATGGGAAGGTGAAAGCCGCCATCTTGCACCGGGACGCCCTGAGCCGGGAGAAACGAAGGCAGCACTTCCGCCGTTTCCACTACCAGGAGGCTGAGGGTCCGCGCGGGGTTTACAACCGGCTCCAGGCGCTGTGCCGTCAGTGGCTGAAGGTGGAGAGGCACTCCAAAGAGCAGATCCTGGAGCTGCTGATCCTGGAGCAGTTCCTGACCGTCCTGCCTCCGGAGATCCAGAGCTGGGTGCGGGAGAGAGGCCCTGCGTGCTGCGCCCATGCGGTGGCCCTGGCCGAGGATTTCCTCTGGATGCAACAAGAGTCTTTGAGATGGGAACAACAGGTAAGGCCCTGTGTGTGTGTGTGTTTATACCAGAGGCTTGCAGCCTCCCCGGCCTCCAGCAGCACTCTGCGGGCCACATGGGGCCCGTTTTGGCTCACAAAATGCTGCAGTGAGGCCATCTAGGCCGAAAACATTTTGGCCAGTAGGGTGCTGTAGGAGGCGTCTGTCCTGTCTCCACCCTGCTCCCCCACCCCTCAGGTGGCCCTTTTTGGGACGGCAGAGTGCTTCTGGAGGCCGGGGAGGACTGTGGAAAGAAAGAAGGGAAAAAGTACATCTTGTGCCTGTGTCAAATTTTCCCTCCGTCCTTCTCTCTCTCTTCTTTTTTCTTTATCCTTTCTTTTTCTTTCTTATTTTCTTCCTTTCTTTTCCCGCCGCTCTTCCTTCTTTCTCTCTCTTTCTTCTTTCTCCTCTTTCTTTCCTTCCTTCCTTCCTTCCTTCCTTTCTTATTTTTTTGTTTCTTTTCCCTCCGTCCTTCCTTCTCTCTTTCTTTTTTTTCTCCTTTCTTTGTCTTTCTTTCTTATTTTTCTTCCTTGCTTTTCCCTCTGCCCTTCCTTCTCTCTCTCTTCTTTCTTTCTTTCTTTCTTTCTTTCTTTCTTTCTTTCTTTTTTTTCTTCCTTTCTTTTCCCGCCGCCTTTCCTTCTCTCTCTCTTCTTTCTTCTTTCATTCTTTCACATTTCTTTCTTTGTTTTTCTTTCTTTCCCCTCTTTCTGTCTTTGTTTTCTTCCTTCCTCTTCCTTTCCTTTCCTTCCTTCTTCTCTCCCTCCTTCCTGTTTTTCTTTCTTTCTTTCTTTCTTTCTTTCTTTCTTTCTTTCTTTCTTTCTTTCTTTCTTTCTTTCTTTCTTTCTTTCTTTCTTTCTTTCTTTCTTTCTTTCTTTCTCCATTCTTCCTAATTGCTCATCTCCCTCAGGGAAGGGTGGTATACACTTTAATCAATAAAATTAAACATTAAAATAAGAATAAGTTAGGATTTAAAAGTTTAAAATGATAAAAAACAACACCCCAACAGATGAAGAATTAGTACATGTTAGTACATGTTAATCCAGGGTGAGTGGGTGGGTGTTTTGATGGTTCCTTGTGTCCCTCATGCAAGGCCGCACAGACCTGGGTCTTATCTCTGAGAGCAAGGTGTTCCCCAAAGCAGGGGCAGCAGCACAAAATGCCGCCTTCCTTCACCCTGCCAATCAAAATCCTTTGACTGACGGGGCCTGTCGCATGCCTTCCGTACCTGAACAGTGTGGGACAGGCTGAGGTGATGGGTCATTATCTTGCCTTCCCTGTTCCTGAGTTCTGTTTCGTGTTTCGATCCTGTCCTCCATTGCAGGATTCCGCAGCGGCTGTTCCCTCAGCCAAGGCAGAGCTGGACTCCCCTGACAGCGGAGGGATTCTCCCAAGGCCGTTCGTGGAGGAAGAGGAGAAAGCTGGAAATTCGCGTGGTGAGTCAAAAAACACAAGTTCCTGGGTTTCCATGGAACAAACCAAAGAAAAATTGGTAATTCCCCCTCCCCCCACGCACCAACCTTTGGTGCCTTCCACGTATTATGGGCTGCTGCAACCGTGCAGACTGCTATCTTTTTTTTTTTTAGTTTATTTTTATAGTTTATAAATATTTTTGGAAAAACACATATATTTCCTGCTTTACAGATTTGCTTCTCCTTAGTTCTCCTTCGCTCTAGGTTGCTTCTCCCCTTGAATGGATGGAAACTAAGCAGAAAAGCAACCTAGAACTTAGGGGGAAATTCCTAATGGCGGGACAATTTGTTTCCAGATGTTACGGGGGCTCCATCACTGGAGTTTTTTTAAGAAGAAACTGAAGCCGACATTTGTCTGAAGTGGTATAGGCTCTCCTGCTTGGGGGTGTGTGTGTGTGTCAAACTAGAAGACCTGCAAAGTCCCCTCAAACTGTTAGTCTATGTTTTATCCCTTTGGCCCTCTTCACTCCTCTCTTTATTTCAGCAGGTGACGTCCGGCAGATTGAGAATGGCAGGGGACTTTTGAAAGTTGCCCCCGACCGAGCTGAGCTGCCAAAGCTGGAAGAGATTCGCCCGCTGAGGAAGACAAGGAGAAATTACCTCACGGAGAAGTGTAAGAAAAACATGGCTTCCCAAGCGGCGGGATTCCATAACTCGTCCCTCCCCGAAGAGAAGCCGAACGAAAAGAGAAAATACAAGTGCAACGTTTGCGGGAAGTTCTTCAGCTATAAGTCGAGTCTGAAGATCCACCTGAGAATCCACACCGGGGAGAAACCCTACAAGTGCTTGGAGTGTGGGAAGAGCTTCATCCGTAGCGACCTCCTGGCCTGCCATCAAAGGATCCACACGGGGGAGAAGCCCTACAGCTGCTCCTTTTGCGGCAAGAGCTTCTGCGACTTGTCCACGCTGATCAAGCACCGGAGGATCCACACGGGCGAGAAGCCGTACATCTGCACGGAGTGCGGCAAGAGCTTCAGCCAGAAGGCGATCCTCAACTCCCACCAGAGGATTCACACGGGCGAGAAACCCCACAAATGCGGCGAGTGTGGGGACAGCTTCAGCCGGAGCACTTACCTGGCTTCCCATCAGAGAGTCCACCTGGGGGAACGGATGACTCAACGTGCAGATTGTACCCTCCCGGATCAGCCCAAACTGATTCACTCCCCCATCGTCCTGGTGGAGGAGAAGGCCCATCAATGCCCCGAATACGGTCAGAAGTTGAAGCAGCGTTCGCCGTGCTTGGCCCACCAAAGGATGTACGCCTTGGGAAAAACTATCAGCGTTTTCGAATGCGGAGACAAGATTCAGTTGGAAGCCGTGGCTTGCAAGACTTCGGAGAAGCTGAGCGATTAGCCAAACGGCTGCTCGCTGTTGGCGAGGGGATTTTTATTTTTTTTTCTCCCGGCGACTGGAGAAATTTCCAATCCAGCTGGCGTTAAAGCAATATGGGGAACTACCGCAGTTGCGTGGGGGGTGGGGCAAAAGATTTGAACACTTTGTCCCCTTTCTTTGTCCCTTGCACTAAGGAGTGACAAGGTGCTACTTTGGGGGGATACAATAACAATAGCACTTAGATTTATATCAGGGGTGGGATTCCAACGATTCGAGTGAACCGGATGTTAAGTTTGCATCTGGTTCGCTGAACCAGTAGTTAAGCCCAGGGGTCCCCAACCACCGGGCCGCGGACCGATACCGGTCCGTGGAACATTTTCTACTGGGCTGCCGGTTTGCTGGGCGCTGCCATCTTGTTTGACGAGAAAGTGCTTCTGGGTGAGCTTTTCCGATTGGAAAGCGGCGTTTGGGTCCTGAAGGAATCCTCGCACCTTAGTTTCATTGAAGGGGAGGGCTTCAAACGAAACTAAGGCGCGAGGATTCTTTCAGCACCCAAGACAAGGCGAGCCGAGCGACCGTCCCGAAGCCGTCCCGAAGCGAAGCCCATCGACAAAGGAGGAGTTGAAGATGGCGGGGAGAAGCGGGGGACAGCTGGCTGGCCGGTCACTGGGCTCGCCTTGCCTTGACATGCTTGCTGATGCCGGTACCGGGCCGCGAATCATTTTGTGATGCCAGTACCGGGCCGTGGCACAAAAAAGGTTGGGGGCCGCTGGTTAAACCGGCCGGCTGGCCCCGCCCACTTTGCCCCTCCCCTCCCAGGAGTCTCCACGTGGTCCATTTTCCATGGAGGGAAGTGTAGGGTCCATGCAGAGGCTCTGGGAGGGGGAAATACGGGGCCTTCCAGAAGGCCTGTTTCCAGCTTCCGGTGGGCCTCCCGAGCCCGAGGAAGGCCGTTTCTGACTTCCCAGAGGCCCGAGGGAAGCATCCAGACCCTTGGGAAGGCGAAAAAACAGCCCTCCTGGAAGTACCAGTAGGCTCCACCCACCATGGCCACGCCCACCCAGGAACCGGGCAGCGAACCGGTTGCTGGGATTTTTGGATCCCACTCCTGATTTATATACTGCTTTATAGTGCTTTGCAGCCCTCTCTTAAGTGGTTTACAGAGTCAGCCTATTGGCCCCCAACCATCATTTACCGTGGTTAGCTTATCGGTTTCTCAGGTTTCAGCCAAGAAGGAAGCGCTTCCACTACCCACCCTCTGTCGCACCTCGTTTTCAGGGCGAGAAACCGTCCGCTCCCGGCTGGCCATTAGATGAGTCTAAATATTGGCCCTGGCAATTATGAGATATTGACAGTCCTCCATTTACAACACTTCTTTTACTGACCGTTCGAAGTTACAATGGCACTGAAAAAAGGTGATTTAGGATTGTTTTTTCACACTTTACGACCATTTGTAGCACCCCCCATGGTCCCGTGATTGAAATTCGGCCGCTTGGCAACTGACTCATATTTATGACGGTTGGCAGTGTCCCGGGGGTCGCGTGGATCCCACCTCCCGACAAGCAAAGTCAACAGGGGAACCAGATTAACAACCTTATTACTAACATAATAGCTGCAGTGATTCACTCCACCACTGTGTTAACGAAGCGTCATAAAACGGGGCAAAAATTTGTTTAACAAGTCTCTTGCTCGGCAACAGAAATTTGTCCCAATGTCCCCCCCCCCCCAAGTTGTGGTCGTAAGTTGTGCTGTCAGAAATATTTTCAAAGCATTTTTATTAAAACAGTACAAGCGGCCGTTGGCTTTTCTGTCCTTTGAAGCAGGGTGTTAGGATTCCGGCACTTAACCCCATTGAAATCATGAGTCTTGAGCCAAACTTCCAAAACTGAAAAATGATTTATTGGGAATTAACATGTCCAGGACTGCCTGGGTGTAGCCGACTCTGAGATACATAATTCATTGTCACCCTTCACCCTGGTTTTCCTCCCCACTCCCTGAGTGTATCGTAATTCATATTCTCCAATGGGATACATCCATAGCCAAGACAGAGTCATCAATCATGTTCTCCAGTTAGAATTGTGCGCGGCAGAAACTTCAGTCACCTAGGTACTATCTTTCAAAACATTTATGGAATGCAGTTTTGGTTTGCGCTGCACTGCTCAGAGTTTTGGTCATCACATAAAAAAGACATTGTCTAGAAAAAGTGCAGAGAAGAGCAACGAGGAAGATTAGGGGACTGGAGACTAAAACATATGAAGAATGGTTGCAGGAACTGGGCCTGGCTAGTCTAGTGAAGAGAAGGACCAGGGGAGACATGACAGCAGTCTTCCAATATTTGAGGGGCTGCCACAGAGAGGAAGGAGGTCAAGCTATTTTCTAAAGCACCCGAAGGCCAGACAAGGAATAATGGATGGAAACTGAACAAGGAGAGTTTTAACCTGGAAATAAGGAGAAACTTTTTGACAGTGAGAACAATCAACCAAAGGAACAGAAGTTGCCCTTGGAAGTTGTGGGAGCGCCATCACTTGAGACCTTCAAGAAGATATTGGACTGCCATTTGTCAGAAATGGTGTGGGGTCTCCTGCTCGGGCAGGGGGTTGGACTAGATGACCTTCAAAGTCCCTTCCAACTCTTGATTATCTGTTATCTGCTCCCCTCTCCTTTTCTGTTGGCAACTCTAAAGAGACCATAGAAATATTTTATGAGTTGACATTTGGTTTATAAACTTGAGAGCAGTTCATAAGCCTGAAATTTCTGCAAGAAACTGACCAAGCTCACAAAGCTTGGGCACAAAGGGCACCTCCCTCCCCTTCCCCGACTTACTTCCAATTTTTGGCAAAACCAGCCTGTAGCAAACAAGGGGTTTGATTAACGACCGCAGGGTTTGCTTAAGGGCAAACCAAAAACCCACAAAAAGGTGGTAAAATTTCCTCTCAGTTTTGTGGGTCACCCATTTTATGACTTACGACGGCAATGGGCAGGATCTGTTATGGTCATAAGTTGACGAATTCCCGTAGGGCTATCCTTGCCCCTACCCCTATTCTATTCCACTCTATTCTATACCATCCCACCCTATCCTATCCGATCCTTTCGTATTCCTATTCCTGATAACTTCCTGATTTTTTAAGAACTTTTCAGGTACATTAATGGTGCTGCCACTAATGACAGCATTGAAGAATCTGGTAAGAAAATGTCGCTGAAACACTCACCCAACAATTCGCTGGTTGTCTAACAACCAAGAAAGTCAAAGCATTTCCAGTTCCTTTCTCATACTGTCTTCTTTCCCCAGGCGTGTTTTGCTGACACTATCTGGGAATTTTCTCCAAAATTATCTCTGCACTCGTCCCCATGTACGACCTAACAATCATTTGTTTAGTGACCAAAGTTACAATGACACTGAAGAAAGTGACTAACAACCATTTTTCACACTTAATGACCATTGCAGCATCTGCATATAATCACGATTAAAATTCGGATATTTAGCAAATGACGGTTGCTTATATCCCAAGGTCACGTGATCTGCATTTGTGCCATTCTGACAAGCAACCATGTTTCTATCTCAACCGTAGGGATTCACTTAGCAATGGTGGCAAGAACGGTCATAAAATGAGACAAAACTCCCTTAGTCAGACACATGTTGGGCTTGATTGTGGTTGTAAGTCAAGGAATACCTGCATTTTTTAATTTGGCAAAATTATTGCCTTTTGACCTTGTTAGTAAAAGATTAATTTTTCTCAGGAGACTTGTAAAAGTAGTCCCCACTTAACAACGGGTTGATTAGTGACAGAAGTTAAAAATGGACCTCCCCAGAGCTACTTATGTCCTGGTTCTGGAATTGCACCTCTCCCTCCACAGTCACCAGAGTGCCAGCACCAAGAACGCCCCCTAATGCGCACGCTCCCCCCACACCCCCTGTGCATGCGCACACGGTCCCGCCCCAGGTGCCCCCTTACTTGCACTGCATCTCCAAGCTGATTTTCGGCCCGTTTGAGGCCTTTTTCGGCCTCCCAGAGGCTCGAAGGAAGCCTCTGCAGCCTTTGGAGACTGAAAAAAATGGGCCAGTTTTATCATTTCTGGTATTTCCGGAAATACAGGAAGTGATGAAACAGGCCTGTTTTTCGGCCTCCAAAAGCTGCAGAAGCTTCCGTAGAGCCTCTGGGAGGCCAAAAAAGGCCTCAAATGGGCTGAAAATCAGCTGAGAGGGATGCGCACACGCAGTGAGGTAAGTTTGCCTGGGGCTCGTGTGCCATAGGTTCGCCATCACAGTTCTATTCTAGTCTTATTTTCTATTCTATTATTTTCTATTCTATTCTTATTCTTTTCTATTATTCTATTCTTATTCTATTCTAATTCTTATTTTCTATTCATATTCTATTCTAATTCTTATTTCCTTTTCTATTCTATTATTCTTTTCTGTTCTTATTCTATTCTAATCCTTATTTTCTATTCTATTCTATTCTAATTCTTCTATTCTATTCTATTCTTATTCTGTTCTAATTCTTATTTTCTATTCCATTCCATTCCTATTTCTATTCCTATTCCTATTCCTATTCCTATTCCTATTTCTATATCTAATTCTATTCTATTCTATTCTATTCTATTCTATTCTATTCTATTCTAT